CAAATAGTCCATTTCAGGATTTCGTCATGAGCTGACAGTGGTTACAGAACCATTGGAAAACGTGGGAGTACTGGACAACTGTTTCGCCCTGGTTCGGAACTCTTCATCAGTGCGCACCCACTGAGGTTCGAACCCAGGACTTTTCGGTCACAAGGCAAGCTCATAGACCATTAAGCCAATGGGACCCGACCCAACGACCCATGAATTCTAAATTCTGCCACTTCACGATGTAGCGCAACCACGAGCCAACATCATCGGCGAGTATATGTCCTCACGCCCGACCTGGTGTGCCCAACTGGTCAGTACTGGTCAGTACTCCCAAGTTTTCCAATGGTTCTCTAACTGATGTCAGCTCGTGATGAAAAACTGATTTTAGTGCCTTCTGATATTTTTCCAGACTCCCCGTAGACATTTACATTCGTATATATATATATATATATATATATATATATATATATATATATATATATATATATATAGGGGGGTCATAGATGAGTGCTTCCAAAATGTCCCAAACTAGGGTAAAACACATATCTGTTACTACCTCATTTTCCCTGAATGATTACAGTTCTCGGTCTAATCTGAAATCAATCAAATTTCTAAAAACCATCATTTGAAAAGATGTCCGTTTTAATATGATCTAGTAATAAAGTATGACAGGGTATTTCTGGTCTATATATTATTCATTTCAGATCTCCTTTTCCTGTTGCCCACAAAGTATCAATAATACTTAATACAGTGTCATGTTTCTACTGCCATAAGAACAGTGTTTCAGTTCTAATTTTGAATGAGCTTCATTTGTTTATGTGATACTGCTTTTAATAGACAAATGCTTGAAGCGACAAACCAACTGGATGGGTGAGAACTCTTCTTTTTTGCATGACTTTGCATAGACCTCATGAAGAGTATTGCATTTCTTCACAAAATTTTATACAATGGATCGATAAGAGTGACAGGGAACACCTCAAAAGGATCTTCCCTCATTCTGTCTTTGTCAGGCCCAGAAACTTTTATTGGTAATCTAATTAGAACAAGACTGTTGGTGTAAAGAAAGCTCAGTCAGTCAGATAATAAATTACTCTGCTTGTGTTTTTATAAAGTCATCTTTCGTTTTTCTCGTTTATTGGTTGAACCAAAATATGTAGCCTCTCCTGATATGCTGGCTCCTAGTACAGACTCTTCGATGATGACTGAAGACTAATCTAATGTTAATCTGTGGATGGTGACTAGCAGCGGAACCCAGGATTCGCATTTTATCCTCTTCAGGACTTGCCAGTTCGATGTACCTGAATCCCCAGTCGGTGAAGATAATTTCACTGAGACTCAAACGCAGTACCCATCGTTTCAGTTGGCAAAAGAAGCCCAAGACTTCTATCCAATCAATCTCAAGGAGAAAAACAAAACTTGACTTAAACAAAATAATACCTTACTCCTGTTGCATAAGAGATGGTTCTCATAGTGCAAGTGGACTAATGAACAACGTTCTGATATTTAAAACAATGGGTGCTGGCTTCGAATCTCAATGAGAACACTATCACTCACTGAGGATTGCAGGTGTATCCAGCTGCCTAGTCCCAAATAGGAATTCCGCTGCTAGTTACTACCTACCAGATAACTTCACCTTTGTCGTCAACAGAACCTAAGACAATTGCATGACTTAAAAACACTGCTATGAACACCTATCAAAATTATTTATAAAGAGGGGTAAGTCATACCAATTTAAAACATGATAACATTACTAGTCATGAGTAGTGTCACTAATATAGCACCATTTAATTTTTGATATTTCACTCATGAATGAAAGATAATCTGGGGATAGACATTGTTGTGTACATGGTTTTATTGCTATCATTTTGCTTTCCCAATGACCATACACAAAACCATCAGAAGGCAATAAAACTTAGATGGGATCTGTTAAAAGAAAACAACAGAAACTACTAATCAGCGCAAATGATACCGCCTAATGCTATTGCATAGAGGAGAGTTACAATAAGGACTTCGTTAGTCATAACAATTTTTTCCTTAGTAATTCTTTAGCTGGTCAGAATTTCACCTTAGTCTGGTACCTACCCTTCCAGGAATTCCTGATGCTCACTTCTGTGTTAACCCACAACTTGTTAGACAGCATAAATACAAAATAGTTAGACAAATCGTTCGGTCAGTATGTTTCTCAGAGGCATTCGTTGGTAATGTCATTATATGCAGACTTTCAGAGTACCTATTAAGTGCTTGCATATTCATTGAAAGAAACGTCCGTAAGATAACTGTTCTAGAGATTTCCAGTAAGCCGAATACTCCTTGGCATTCATATCGCCCATAAGGATTTTGATCTCACCATTTGGGATGTTGTCCATCACTGTTTGTAGATGTCTGTAAAACTCTTCCTTCTCTTGTTCCGCGTTGTTTGTAGCACTGTGCGTAGCATTGGATAATTGTAACATTCCTTCCTTTTCAATTGAATCTTACTGTCATAATGCTGCGGGATGAAAATTGTTTTCCACTGCATTAGGGTTTTAGCTGCTACTGGTGACACCGTGATAGCCACTCAGTGTTATCGTGGTTGTGGTCTGCGTGGGTGACCAGAGTAGATTACTGACTCTCCAGTTGACACTTTTGATAATCTACATCCATTCCATCTACTCCCGCAGATACCCGGCACTTCTATGCCATATCTTTGCATTTCTTTGGCTAACTGGGCAGCCTTCTCATCTGGCTTCATGCATTGTATGGACATTTCACGTCCCCATCCTTATTCTTGCTTTCATCTGTCTGGCTTCCACCAGCCCGCTGTTTCATTTCGCCTCTCCGATTCCAGCAAAGAATAAGATTTTTATTTGAATTTTCTTGTACTTTTAAGTTATTTTTGTGCATCAAAGTTTCTCCAGCAGTCTGATAGTTTTTGTGGTGTAGGGTTGCCAGCCCTTCGCGCAACCCTCCCTCTTTATCCGGGCTTGGAACCGGCTGGAAAACCGGCAAGCTAGTTAACTAGGCGAGGTTGCTATCTGGAGTATGGTACACTAAACTGCTGCAATGCTGTACAAGGATCTGTGTTGAGAACTCAGTCAGCACAGAAGTGTTACTTACTGTGTACATTCATAACTGGTGAATACTGAATTGTATCTAGCATCTTAAAGAAAACACTACTGGTTTTATCAGTTCAACATTTCCTCTAGATTTGTGTACAAAAAGATTTACTTCTGTGAATAAAATGGTATGTCCGGTATGGTTGCTAATTATGATAATGGAAATCTGTATCCCATGGAGTGGAAAAAGGATTTCAGAAGGGTGGTACTTGTTTTCACTTTTTCTAAATGCTTTGTAATATCACATTGTTATTTTCAACTACTGCATTACTGAAATTAAAGAAAAAAGAGGCAAAAGGACTGCATGTTCTCGAAAGGAATTGTATTTAAGTGTTGGTTTGTAGGGATTTGATTGGTTTCAGGATTTCATCATGAGCTGACATTAGTTAGAGAACCATTGGAAAACCTGGGAGTACATCCAACTAGTAGGGTGTAGCAGGTCGGGTGTGAGGACAAATACTCACCGAAGACATTGGCTAGCGGTTGCGCTATATCGTGAATTGGCAGAAGTTAGAATTCAAGAACCATTGGATCGGGTCCCAGTGGCTCAATGGTCTACGAGCTCGCCTTGTAACCAGAAGGTCCTGGGTTCGAATCCCCATGGGTGCGCACTGATAAAGAGTTCCAAACTAGGACGAAACAGCTGTTCAGTACTCCCAGGTTTTCCAATGGTTCTCTAACTGATGTCAGCTCATGATGATATCCTGGAATTGTATTTGTTCGCCGCGTCATTTTAGATATATCTACATGGTGAGTAATGCTGAGATTAGACAGATTGCAAGTCTACTAATGAGACTGTTCATTTTCATTAAGTAAATTAGACGGGATATGTATTATGTAGTACGGCCAGTCGCCTCTCTCTCTCTCGACAATTAGTATCATCTGGAATAGGATTACTTTGAAATACAGTTAGAATTGGTTCCAGCTATAAGTTCCAACTATGCCAGCTTTCGTGAGTAGCCTGTTGAGGGATTCTCATGATACTAAAAATCAGTAGTTTCAGTAGGGTGGGGGGGGTGCTAGGATCTCGATGTCATGATTCGAAGTCTTTCACAGTGGTGCGGGAGTACTAGGTGTCTATTGTCTTCAAATTTCTGAGCAGTTTCATCAATTTTTATTGTTATTAATCACCTTATATAGGAATCGCGCTTGTGCATTATAGTATCATTTCACTTCTGTACGTCTTGCAATCTAACAGGATTTGTTGATATACATTTTTTTGTAAAGTTTTATGCCGTTAAGTCCCTTCCTTTGTTTATACACACTTATTTACTTAAATGTCACTACATCTAAGCCCTTAGAGGTGGACGCACAAACACTGTACTAGTTGGGATTTAACATAGTCATTGGACAGCACCTTATCAACCTGTAGTTCTGTTTGATATAATTGGAGCAGATTTTTAGCAGACATGGAGATTTCTAGTTTTGTCATGTTCTTTGCATTAGTTGATTTAACTGTAGAGGATTTCCAGGTCTTCTATGCAACATTTTCACCACTAACTTCAGAACAAAGTTTTATCAACACAAGAAATTTTTGAAAGTGTCACTTTCCACATTGTAAAACAGAAGTCATACTTAGAACAGGCATTACTGTGTCCCAGCCATAGTTATTGATTCACTGTTTCTCGGGAATTGTTAGAATTCTTACATTCATTTCCTATTAAACTAGTAATAATCCGTTTTTGCATCAATTCTGCTGCAAAGCTAAAAGCCATTCCTTCTATTTATATGAGTATGATTATGGGTCAGTAAACAAACACTAAATGACCTACCGAAATTCTCATTCATACATTTCAATTCAATTTCATCTAGAGATACCAAACACTGAGCTAGTAAGCGTTCTAAAATAGACACTACTGCTTTTTTCAGGTTTCCCAGAAATAATTTCACAAGTATTTTCAGAATTTTAACACTTACATTAGAGCACTTCCATTATCCTCATTTGAAACTCCAAATGTTCTGCAAATAGTCATGCTTTTGTCTTCCAGTAGAGGAAATTGAATGCTTTCATTAAGTCCATTGTTTTCAAGCGGTGCAGTGAACCAGGCTATATGTGATTCTATTGAATCAGGAGAGATAGCTAAAATTTCACAGTTAATCTCTTGAAATTTTGACAAGTAACTTTGAAATTCCAACAGCTCTTGAGAAGATGTCTCCATACTGCAGATTTGAAATAAGAAGACAAAAATTCAAATGGCAGTTAACCTCTTCACAAAGAATCATTTACTCATAGGATCGATGCTCATACAATTAAATGATAAACTAACGGTATTATTTAGGCTTCTTAAGAGATTATGTTTTAATTCACATAATATTTATAATCTGAATAAGTGTATACGTCTCTTTGTAAGCTATCTTCATTCCAGCTTATAAGGTGGTTGTATCTACAATTACTGTGAATAACACCAAAGAAGCCGAAAAGGAATGTTATCAACGAATTTTGTGTAATTAAGCACCGACTGTATCATTAGTACTGTTTTTGGAATAAAACAAAAAATTATTATTATTATTGCTTCCCACTGGGAAAAACTGGGCCGCTTATACTGAGAGGTAAGTCAAGAAGCAGTGACAGTGAGCTGAAAAATAATGCCAAATTAGAAACCTGGCTATATAGTGCAAACTAACAGTATATATATATATGTTTACCTGAGTGGGTAAAGTAAATTTACGCATTGGAAGTTGAAGCTTCTAGTATTTCATTGTTTTATCAACTAATACAGAGACTTTGACTCATTTCTATGCAATCAGCACTTTTAACAGGATAAATATTCACAATTTTTGAAAACAGTACCTCAAAAGACTCAATGGCAGGTGATGCCGCATCCAAAAGAATCACTGGATCATGTGCTAATATTGAGATTTACACCAGCGAACATGCAATCTTCCCATCATGAAATGTAAATTTCTGCCATCATAAGTCAATGAATGTCATCTGAACAATATCATTCTTCACGAGTAAATAATCTATACTGGCATTTCACAGTTTGTTTACCACTATCTTTCCGCACAATCGATGTTAGCTAGAAAAGAGATAGAGACAGAGCAAGACATGGCATCATTCTATGGTGTCTTTAACTGTTGGTTTTAGCCGTGTAGACTATGTATGTATATTTCATTAGTTGCTAAGGAGCAACGGTTGCAGACAGTTGGAGATTTAGTTCGAAATCATTGTCAGTGGTACAGGTCCTTCTACTACATCTGTGTTATTTTATAACTTCACTACACTTCTCCTACTACCATATATACTTTTTAGAAGTGTGGTAACTTAAGCTGCCTAAGATTTGCGTTGAGCCCTACCCTGATTAGTCAGCCAATCAGTCCAGTCCTAAGAAACCGCTAGCTCCAAATTATTTTAGAGAGTTAAGCAGATATCGGAGAAGTAACTGTATTTATTTTCGTCGATGTTTCAGTGGTAGAAAGCTTATCAGTCGCGTAGGCGGTTCGGCTTTCGGTTCTCGACTGATGCAGTCCTAAACCTCGTTCAGTTTGTTGGTCAGTCGTAACCCAGAAAGAGAAGGAAGGCTGGATATGAGCTTAGCAACCCTAACACATAAAAAGCAGCACTGCCACAGAAACGTCATAACTCGCAGCCCTGTGTTCCACTTGGAAAGCAAAGTAATGGAAAAACTGTGTTTGTAACTCCCCCTTAATTTCTTTCAAATACTTGACATTTATTCTTTTCAAAATGATGCCCTCAATTTTTATTACTCATTATTCGCAGCTCCAACTCACGTCGTGGAATCTTCGTAGCTTGTAGAGTTCAGTTACAAACAAACTCGAGTTAAGGCACTTGACGACCAGCTATTGTTCTATAGAACTTGTGGTCGTGTACGTTATGCATCTGTAGAAGGGTGCTCTCTGCTCTGACTACTAGTTTTCCTAGGAAAAAACATCTTGATCAGGGAATTCTTGATGATTGCACCATCTCGTAAAAAATGGGCAAGTTCGGGATTGCAGCTTGTACCAGTATTTCTGCAGAAGTAATGTGTCCTTAATTTAGTCTGGTCTCTGGTAGGAAATGTAGCCTGTGATTTATGTTAGAGGTTTACATTGAAAGTAACATGAGCAAATCGACTAGATAAATTTATGAGGGACTGTGTCTAAGGATACACTGGTTTCCTAACAACCAGCTATTTCTGGTCGCTGTTGGCAAATAGGGATATTCTGATCATTTTTGTCAAGAACGTTATATAAAGTAAACTACAACGGTAAGTTTATCTTTAAAATATCAAAGCGTGAATACAGTGGGCCGGTAAATTATTTCCTAACACTGAAGCAAGTAAGCAAGCTTTGTGTTTATGATACTGCTTAGGTTTATAAATATTTAAAACCAACTAGAAATAGGATTGACATACTCACGAATGAAAATAATAAATAAAGAAATATAATGACCAGTAAGACTGAAGATCATTTCCATTACATTCGATGATGTCCACTAGAATCGTATTTGGCTTTACGAACTTCCTATACCTACCGTAGATTCATCCTAATCAATGTTTGATCCCCGCTACTACAACAGAGGCCATAATAACAAGAATAGACTTTCCGCTCTTTTGAAATCATTTCTTACGCCAAAACTGACGTAGTACTTATAAAGTCCTGGCTCTCCTACCGAGTTACTAGCTTTTAAAACCAACTCACATAAGAAGTGGAAAATTTATCAAGAAGGAAACATACATTCATGGATGCTGAACAGACGAAACTAACATAGTTTTGTAGCATCCAATCTTCCATCAGAATATTTGAATATGAACACAGCAGCTTTCGTCTAGTCATCATTCAACCCTGACTATATTCACAAAGAAGCCTGTGTAAAATTTTAGAACACGTGTCGATATTTTACACCACATTTTATACTCAAGTCTACACTTCGAAGACCATCTTGTCAACGTTTTTGAATCAAAAATGATTTATAAGGAAGAAAGAAAATACTTTTACATGACCAGTTTTTGAAATAGGAAGGAATCAGTTACGAGTAGAATAATTTTAAATTCTCAGCCTCTGAAAGTTTGCAAAAGCCGTATAGAATATGAGAGATATTTAATGCTTCACCTCATGCTCTCTCCCGAGAGACTGTATACATAAATGAATAGATCTGTATATTTGCTCCTGCCATGTTTTCTCATCCCACGGCAGAACTCAGAAATTTAATGTTTAAACTATAAACACTAAACAGACGCCTCCCATTTAGGTAGACAATGAAGTGGTTCTTAGAATTCTATATAAGCTGAAACTGGGTAGGTCGTAAACGTCTAATGGATCTCACTCTAGGCCACTACTCTCCTTACCTAGTATAAAATACTAAACGCTCATGGAGTTATTCATCGTAGAAATGTCCAAAGCCAGGTTACCTCAGGATTGAATGGAGACATCTGCAAGTCCTGCCATTTGAGAGGATAACAAGAAATCAGTACTAGGCTGTTGACCTGTAAGTCAGATGTGCACTGCCATCAACATTGAGAAAAATCATTAAAAGTCATACACTTGTTTACCCGGAGAAAATGATATAGTGATGAGAGAACAGCTTGGATTCTGACCAGGACAAATCTATCTAACAAGTACAATGATAGCAGTGGAATATTAGGTATATTACAGAGGCAAGTATCTCCAGTTCAATGTGGTGTTCTTCAAGCCTGGTGAAGTGTCCTATTTATACCCTTAATAATTGGCTTAAAGGTAATCTAAATGATGGAAGACAAAGAGTGGGAGTGGGTTGTTATCCTTATTTCATATTTGCGATTGACCTGAGTTCTTGCACTTGTCTTAAATATCGTTTTTGAGTGATGTAAACATTAGAAGAACTGTAAAAATCGATGCTCATAGACCGGGCCTGAGACTGGATTGAATAAACTAGCCGAAGAATTTGATCCCTATGAAGTGAGGTATTGCATCTTGGCCAATAATCCTACTTAACCAACTTCCAAGGGTAATAGAACAACCTGACGTCAAGAAACAAAAAATTTCGGAATGGTCATTAGTCACAACCTAGAGACTTCAAAGACCTTTCACGCACTGCGACCGCCTCCAAAAGCTATTAGCTGCTGAGATGATCAAATACTTTAGGCCTTCTACCCAACATGTTTTAGACTTCGTTTTCAAAACTACATAAAAACTACTAGTTCGTATTTCAAAAAAATGACAAGCTTTGGGAAGAAAATGGGAGATAGATACTTGGCTCGTTAAAGGAATTGTAAAACCTCATTATGATGTTTCAAACTTTGCATTTCCCATTATCACATCATAGGCATAAGGTGACCTTATTTTACCTTGTGTTGCAAAATGGTAAATTAGATATTGACTTCTCTGATATTTCCCTCCCCTCCTCCACAAAACCTCATCGTTAAAAAGCACTTGAAACGTGGTCGAACACGATGTGTATAGAATTAAGGTCCACTCTTGGGGAACGTAACGAGTGTATAATCTGGTATCTTCTGCCCCGATGAACGTTTTCAAAGGTATTCTGGATATATATGTACTTTGCAAATCTTCACATATGTCTCTTATAGCAGGATCGAAGACCACCTTCTTATATTCATTGACTGCTCATCAGTGAAGTGAAAATTTTGAAAAAAGGAGCCAGCGATACGAACTTAAATTCATGAAATTCGCATATATTCATGTGAATAAACTTATAAAAATCAATTCTACCAGAGATTTTAACGAAAATTAGGGTTAAGGAAGTGAAAATAAATCAATATTTAGTACGGAAACATTTGTTATGTACATTACGATTTAGGCTACAAATACCATGAAATCGATCACACGATTTTCACGAAAACAACTCACAAGTTTGAGGGATAAAATAATATGACCAAGTATTTCCCAACATAATTTTCTAGCTTCGTTATACCCTTGATGCCATTATGAAGAGACTTTGTGGAAAAGTTAGGTGCTCTGCTGCAGACTCTACGAACACGTAGCTCTTGAGATAACTGATAATTTAAATTGAAAAACTGGATTATTAATCTCACTTTATACTGCTTATACATAAGTTGCTTTTGTGTTCACGATTTCACATATAACCCTTCGAACTCGCGCACTTTCTAGTATATATGCAAACACCTTATTAAAAGTAGTATTTTCTGCCATCATAGGCTTATGCTCTTAGTCATAGATATTATAATTAAATGCGGTGAAATCATCTTTAATTAGCCGAGAGTACTCTTTTATATGGTTAGACCTCCAAATCTATTTGTCACATGCAGGAAACTCAGCCAGTTGTTTCATCAACCTTGACTGTACTCTCGAAAACGACTAGGCTAAACTTTAAAACACATCTGAATTTATTGCACTGCTTTTAGACATATGCCCGCACTTCGAAGGCCATCTCACTTACTTAAATTTTCAGTCTATCTAACCAAATAAGATGATTCAATGCAAAGATGAACAATAGAAGGAGAAGCTGAGTTCAGTGTACACTGCACTGAATGAAGAAATAAAGAAGAGTGCAAGGAAAGTCAGGAGACAATTCTACTACACACTGGCTTTAGGTAAGTGAAGCAGAACAGGCAGGCAGGCGATAGGTAAAAAAGACCTCAGGACATTATATCAGATAACTAGGCCTCTATCCGAGGAGAGATCAACCCAGATGATGAAGCCAAAATATAGATGTTCAAGGGAACCTGATTAACAAAGACGGGGAACAAATTTAACAATGGGCTGATCACCTCAAAGGCCGCTTGAATCGACCATCACCTGCAACTCACGCAGAAATACACCACCACCAACAGCACGCACAGAACTGCCTGTCAGTGGACACCAATCCTCAAACGAAAACAGAAATCCTGAATGTACGAAGACTACTGAATACAACCCGGAAGACCACAGCACCAGATGGAATTCTCCCATCCCAAAGCACTGGGAATGGATCTAGGGGCTTCGGCAGATGCACTCACTCCATTACTGCAAACTGTTTGAAGTAGGGAAAGGCACCTGTCGATTGGAAGAAAGGCTACCTCGTCAAGCTGTCAAAGAAGAGCGTACTAGGCCTCTGCAAGAACAACAGTGAATGATGCTCTTGTCCACGCCAAGTAAAATACTAAGTCGTATCATCCTGAAGAAAATAAAGGACATGCCGAATAAAGAACTCCACCAGCCCAACCGGAACAAGCTGGCTGGATTCAGGAAAGGCAAATTATGGACTGATCAAATTGCTATGGCGTGTAATACCCAAGTCCTTGTCAACCTCAACCAACGGCTCTATGACAATGGTACGTGTTAAGCGGTCCACAACAGACGATTCGCTGAGGCGTCTGAAATTAATACAGGGGCGAGTCAAGGAATTTGTTCACTGGTGATGAAATTCTAGAAGATCTGGATTTCACAGATGATTTACGTCACAAAACTCGGAGACCTACAAGCGAAGACCAACAAGTTGACTGAAGGATCAGCGAAAACAGGACCCCATATGGACGTAGAGAAGGCGGAGATAGTGGAGGTGAACGACCATTAGCTACAATAGTCGTCACTTATCAGTGTCAACGAGAGAAATTTGAAAGTGGTCACTTCCTTCACTTATCTAGGAAGCGACTTTTGCATTAGTGATAATCTATGCTAATTCAAAATTGTAATTCGTAACATAATTGATCTGGCCTGTTAAAATGGCGTGCATTTCATGTAAACTTACCCGTTTATACGAAATATGTATTATTAAATAGCATACGATTTCGAAGGGACACGA